ACCACTGATTGGCTGTTTTTTAGCTTCAAAAAATCTGATTGGTCGAACGAGCGAGTCTGAATACCTATGATTGAATGATTTCTCAGGGTGAAAGTAAGATTTTGTGATCTCATGTTTTTTTGACCTTTGTGTTCTTTTGACCCTGGCACAGACAGAGCCACAAACGCGTTTTAGTTTTTTTCGTATGACCCTCCCTTCAGTCGAGGGAATAAACCTGCAAAAATCTTAACAAGATCCTTGAATTTTTTTCATCTCAATTCTTATCACCATTCGAATTATCTTCGAAGGATCCGAAAACATTTATTTATGTCAAATTCGAAGCAAGATCATCATCGAAATTTGACACGATTTTTTTTGTTTATGCTTCTGATTAATCGACTTTTATTCATGTTAACATTTTTATCTAATGTAACTAGACGTCTTGACTCTCATCCTCCTATTAGGATTTCGAACAAATTTTCATTAAAACTTCCTAAAATCTTTCTAGAACATTGTTTCCTATTCTTCTCAAGATCTTAATGAGGATCGACAGGAACTGTTACTAGGTTAATATGCATTATCGATTAAGATAAATATCTGAGGAAGATCCTCTTTAATCATGATAAATACTCATAAAAAGGAATATCTAGAAGTTAAAAGAAGATATCGAAAAATAACTTTGACAAGATTGTTAACATTCAGATTTGTGAGAAATCGTTCGATTTTTTCTCAATCAATGAATAATATTGAAACTAGAGAAATCATTTTTCTAATCGAACTAATTTATTTTCAAACTTATTCTCTTTTTCTCCTTGCTTTTATCCACTTTCATCAATAGATAAAGACTCATAAGGCGAACATTAGTTTAGAGAACGGATATGGCAAGACATAGTACTTATCCTGTTCATTGTTTTATAAAGAGATTATTCGATGATAAGATTCAATTAAATCTATATCGATTATTTATCAATACTGATTATTTAATTAGTTAAGTAATCAATTATAGAAATATTTTACTTTATTTATATAAAAACAGAACGATTTTTTTTTTATAATGAAAATAAAATAGTTTTGTTAACAACAATTAAACAAATAAATATGTTTCACGAGATAATTTATAAATAATATCAAGAAATATTTCCAAAACATAAACGAAATAAACAATTTATTTTGATAAAAAGAATATTTTATAGATTGAATTGACAATCAATAATAATAAGATAAATAGTCATTAACTCGAATAATAATAATAATCAATAGTTAAAAAGATTTTATGGATATTGACTCTTTCACATATAAAATATTAACAATATTTAACTCACTTCAGTTATTTTATCATTTCGAACCTTTTATTCTTATTCAAAGTAAATCTTAATCATCGATAATAGATCACGAAGAACTTTGGAAATTTTTCGAATAGATAAATCTTGACTAGTAGAGTAACAGTTATCATAGACTAACAATTCTCGAATGGTTTCTTCTATTATATATAGAGGAGCTAACCAATAAAAACAATGAAAAAAAAAACTACTGACACCATATGAAAAAAAAAGCCCATTTTCGATAATCAAACGGATATTAGTTTTTCATGTTTTTTTTAAATTAATTTATGAGATTTGTGAATTTTAATTAATGAAAATGATTCATTTTCCATGAAAATCATTAAAAATCCACGAAAATCTCCTAATGAAAAGGGTAAAAAGACGAAATTCATAGTTTGACAAAAATCATCAAAACATTATTTTAAATAAAACAATAATTGAATAAAAGAATTTATTCTTATTAAAATATATTCGTTTTCTTCTAGATATATTTACAATAGAATTATTATTCTCAAATATAAATATTATCTATTAATTGATTCAAATTAAATAAATTTAAAAATAAGTTTAACTATTATATTCGATTAAATAAAACATTTTGTCTTATATGATAAAACAATTTATTTATCTTTAAATAATATCAAACAGATTAACTTCAAACATAGGTTTTTTTCTTCAAAAATTCTTCGATAATAAACTTGTTTGACATATATTCAACGATAAATCGTCGTTATTTATCTTTTTCGTTGTTTTTTATAATCAATTTGTCAAGTCAATTTTATTTTTATCTCTATTCTTTCAAGATTCTTCTGTTTTTTGTTTTCTAGACCTAATAAATAAATATTGTTTATCATGTTGAAC